GGTTTTTACAAAGAAAAAAAGAATTTTTCTTGAATTCTTGTCTATCCTTTGATAAATTATGAAAAATTTTGTACACTTTCTACTTTTCACTTGAAAGAGATAAATGTAATGGCATGTATGAGAAATAATTGTAAAATGCCAAATGAAAAGAAAATGTGCAGAGGAGCTGAATTTTAACTTATAAACAGACTATTTTAAGGCCAATGCTATCATATTTACTAAAGATAGTTTGCTTACTTTGATCATTCTACAACACGGTTAGAATTACTCTTTGAATTGGGAGGGAGAAGATAGGATTGTATTAGAACAGAGTCAGCTCTCCTAGCTAACAATTTAATAGTTTCCTTTTACGAGATTTAACTTATAGTCCAGGATGATAATAAATAAGCTTCCTGTTCCAAACACTCTGAAAGAAGTAAAGGCAAGGGGTAGCTGCAAGTGCCAGAAAGGAAGGGAACTACCAGCTCTGTGGGTCTCTAGTCACAGCAGCTTCATAGCAGCAAGAAACACCACAAAGTTATAATCCTGGTGCCCATGGCACTTTTAAAGGAACAGCCAGTAAAAGACTTATGACTCAAAAGTTCAGTGAGGGTGGTGGCAAGAGTGAACAGATACCAATAGCATCATAAAGGCATTTAAGGCTCTCCTAAGGCCAATGGGTAGCAGGTTGGAAGTGTGGGAAATGCAGGACATAGCAGAACTCTGTTTTTCTATAAATACAGGGATTGAGTATGAGAAAGATGAGAATGGATCTTTTCTATAACCATTGCTGACACCTGTTATCATGGTCAAAACCCAAAGGAACCAAAGGAATGCCCAAGGCATGCTATCATCCATGACACCTCTCTCTCAAATTGTTCAAGACATACTTACAAAAAAAGGACTTCAACCTCTAAGATGATATGTCTACAGACTTATGACTGTTTCCATCTATCTATAACTGTATCTTGTAAATGGTACTAAACAGGTTTTTATCACATTTGCAGGGTATGTTTGGCATAGTCTGAATTATAACATTGGGCTATTTGCTATTGATTCGACATCTTAAACACCACAAAGGCTTTTATACTTGGAGAGAAATATCAATTACTATTTGTGCTTACATTTGTTTAATGGTCAATTTATTAAACTTCTATATCTACCACTTGAAAACTACTGTTTCTTTAACATTTAAACATTAATTACAAAAGAGACAAAGAAGGGCATTACATAATGATCAAGGGAACAATCCAACAAGAGGATATAACACTTGTAAATATCTACGCACCCAATG